TGAACAGAATGTTTGCTAGTTTGCTTCGTGCATAACTTTTAAATAGTGCATAAGATCTCTCCAGATTAATGTCATCGAAATCTATGTCAGCAACTATAATAGAATGATTTTGTTATAGTTGTACTTCAAACAAAAGCCGGGTGTGTACAAAAGACATTTTAGTTTATTTCTAAAGTCACCATAATCACTTTACATACAAATATATGCAATTGATGAGACATTGATTATTCTGCAACTGGGAGAAGACGATTGCATTTTTGGTAGTAACAAAAGTGTCAAAAGAAAATGGCCAAGATGGTTGACTTGTAATGTCGTCTCAATTCCATCCTCTGTCTTCTCGTACGGAGACGCAGCAGCCATACCGGCATTATTTATGAGTATGTCAATAGCTGCTTCGTTTGTCAGCAAATTCTTAGCACAATCTTTCACGCTTTTAAAACTGCGTAGATCCAGAAAATAAATCGCAAGCTCACCCACATTATTTTTATATTTATCCTTTTTCATCCTAAAAGTAACCATTGATTTACAGACCACATCGTCATTTTCTCCATCATAAAAAAATTTAAATTTAATTGCTTTTCTTATGATATATCTAAGTTTATATATTTACCATGAAGGTGGGTTGCTCTTTATATCTTCAACTGCTTCATTTGTCTTTTCCATATTTCTACAAGCCAGAATTACTCTATAGCGCCTAAATGCATACGTTATTTATACAAATGTGTTTAAGAGCTAGTATACTTTTTAATTGTAAAGTCGTAAAAAATTTTATAGATTTATAAGTGAAACAAAGATAATTGATACTGTATAAAGCCTCTGCAGTATATCAAATATTAGAATTAAACATTGATATTTGATTGATTTCATAAGTCCACATTTTCTGGGAGATATTTGAATTTCTTATCACAACATGCTCTTTGCCAGAAAAAAGGCACGGTCAATAGCCTTACGGACAGAGTCTTTAGATTGTCACACCCTGAATTTCAACAAAAAAACTTGGAATCAATAGTTCGTATTTTAATAAAAAATTGCTACCCGTTAGATTTTATTTTTAAAGTCATATACGAACGCCTGAGGTATCTTTCTGCAAACCTCCATGTAAATGCAAGGGAAAAGACGGTTAATAGGGGTCCATTTTTTGTGATACCATATGTCCTTACATTAACAAAAAAATACAGAAATATTACGAGAGATCTTGAATTAAAGCTATCGTACGTGAGCACAAACAAATTAAATAAATTCATTAAAGTACATAAGGATGTTCTTCCTAATTCGTCAGCTAGGAACGTAGTATACCAAATTAACTGTAAAAACTGTGATGCATCCTATGTTGGACAGACCGGTAGACAACTGCATACGAGAATAAAAGAGCATGAATCTCACATAAGGAGGAATGGTAGTTGTCATTCAGTGGTGACGGACCATAAGGTTGAATGTAATCACGATTTTATTTGGAATGATGTGAAGATCTTAGATAGGGAACGGTTTCTAAATAAAAGATTAATATCTGAAATGATTTACATCAAAAAACAAACGAACGGTATAAATTTGCAAACGGACACGGAGAATTTGCCTGAAATGTATATAAATGTTATTGAAGGTCTTGCAAAAATATAAAAACATTGTTGTTCTTGTTCGTCATATTTCCCCTTCCATGTACTCGTGAACAGAAAGGTTGTCCGACTTATACACCCGTATTCATACTATGAATACGGCTCAAAGTCGGACAACCTTTCGGACAACCTTTCTGTCCGCGTTCTGTCCGCGACTATACAGCAATGATATTGTAAGAGCGGTTGTGTCATTGTTTGTTTAAGCGTTGACGAGACACAGTCCGTTCCTTTGCTGTCACGGATAGTCGTGCAAGGAGAATAACTGCGATGTGACGAATGACTGCACTATCTGTAAGTAGCGTTACGCATCGCATAACGTGTTGTATGCATACAGTCCTGGGGTAGTTGTCACTCTGAGTATCTGTATAGGTATCTTTTCCATCGAATCATGACTGATTATCTGCAAACGAATTTCCTGGCGCTCAAACCAGGAAATCACACACTAAGATACCTGGGAAGGCTTCGGAGTGTGCATCTGCCCAAAGGACTATTAGGAGGAATTGATTTGTCGAATAGGCTTACGAAAAAGGAAAAGAAAAGCCCTATTTAGATTTAGTACTAAATGTGTAGACAACGCGCTGAGGATGACCCAAAAAAAGGGTCAAAACGTACGTAATTTTGTAATTGACACTATTTGCATATAATAAATTTTAGCGATTGTAACCACGCTTGGCTCTTATTGCCTGTTTAATTCTAATAAAAGATAATTGCAAAAAACTTAATATTCTAGTAAAGAAATGAATATAGTGTTTTCATGAAGTATTGTTAGATAACAGTATGGTTGTATAACAATGACATTTGGCACTGTTATCTCTTAACGAATAACAAAAATTTATATTTTATTAATCCTATATAATATCTACTTAATGGTGCGTGTCCACCTGCGAGTAAAACTCTCAAGAGTAGCTCTCGAGATTGATTCTAGCAAATGGACATACTCATGAGAGTACCTAATGGAGAATGAATCGCAACTCTCGGCGAGCGAACTTGTCAAGACCTACTCGCAAATCGACATAACGTTATTTTACTCTCGGAAATCAGCTCGCCAAACTCGAACGCTGTTCGTATTTTGAGAGCTACATGTTGAGAGTAAAAACCGAGATGGCAAAAGTTTGTTCTTTTGATGACACAAAGGAACTTATTGAATAATGCGGAAATCATGTACTATTGTAGAATACGATACTTTATAACTACTGTGACAAAAATAAAAAAATTTTTAAATTTTTATGTTCTGCGAAAAAAATTTATAATTTAAAGAATTAGATAAGAATATTTTTAATACATTCTCTAATTACTTGGTCAATAATTAGTTACACTTTAGTTTTACATAGTTTGCACGTTTTATAATAGTTACACTGTAGTTTACAGTGCTGAAAGTAAATATATTTTTATCGCAAATTAAGTACCTACATTTAAAAAAAAGGAAATTAAATTATTAAATATTTACATATAAAAATCTAACATCAAGGTATTTCGCAAACTGAAAACTAAATAATAATATCGCACTATGTATTCCACTTCACAATTTGTAAGTCTGCAGAAACTTTTAATTGTTGGGAGTCTTCAATCTTAAGCTCTCTATAATTAGAGCAGATTCGGCACCTGCGATCAATCCATTGCTTGACCCAGAAGGTTTTTTTGTTGTTATTTAACGCCCTTTTTCTTTTTAAAATAATGTTAGTCACTATAGTAGCCGCAAGTTTTTTCGTTTACGAGACATTATGATGTCACCACTCTCAGAGATCGACTAAAAAAGTACGTAAGTGGACACGGTTTTGAGAGAACTCTCCGAAAGAATACTCTCTGGCTTCTCACGAGATGCTCGCGAGAGTACAATGTCAGAAAAATTACTCTCAAATGGACAGTGTCAGAATCAATCTCGAGAGCTACTCTCGAGAGTTTTACTCGCAGGTGGACACGCACCTTAAGTTTAAAATTTAAAATAATATAAATTATCATTTCAGTAAAATCACCTCTTGTATATAAATCTCTGGCAGTCTCCTTGCCGATACCACTACTTGCTCCTGTTATCACAACAGTTTTGCCGTCAAGACGTGCTTTGCTCATACACATTTCATTAAAGAACCACATTTTATAGTGCTTCTTTATCCACGACGTCAACAATATGCGATTGACTATTTCTATTGGAATTCACTCACTATCGATTTCACTGAAAATGCTATAATCGGTTGAACGCAATTGTTTATTGAATAGTCACAGACTTTGTCTTTGTGTTCTTATATAGGCTATAGCTTTAATTGTTATGTAGATATTTATGCAATCTGTTTTTACGTCATTATTTTTTGTTAAGTATAAGCTATAGCTTATACTTAACAAAAAATAATGACGTAAAAACAAATTGCATAAATATCTACATAACAATATCTGCATAAATAATTTCGAAATCGTGATGCACATCCCAATTAGCAGACGTTTTTTAAATGTTTATTTTTTATATTTATTTTTTATTAATTATACATTGTACAATTTATTGTAAAAATAATATTTATTTAATGTTCATTAAATATCTATTTTACATTAATTATTTATTTAAAATAATGATTTAAAGAAAATATTTATTTAATGTTTATTTAATATTTGTTTTACATTAATAATTTATTTGCAATAATAATTTGAAGTAACATTAATTTAACATTAATTCGACATTAATTTAACATTTATTTTACATTAATTATTTATTTGCAATAATTATTTGAAAAAAACATGTATTTAACACTTATTCAATATTAATTTAATATTTATGTTACATTAATTATTCATTTGCAATAATGATTTGAGGAAACATTTATTTAACACTTATTTGACATTAATTTAATACAAATTTTAAATTAATTATTTATTTGCAATAATGATTAGAAAAAACTTGTATACTTAACATTTATTGCATATTAATTTAATATTTATGTTATATTAATTATGTTAAAAATATCACGTGATGCGAGATGTCGAGGAGTGAAGGGAGGTCGAGCGAGCGTTACGTGAAGTATTCGAGTGACCGGCTCGTTGGCATGGAAATAACAACGTTCGAGTTTTACACTTTAAAAAACAACTTTTCCGGCTGTTGCTACAACATTAATATTTTAACAAACTGCATAACGTAACAAAATTATTTTAACAGACGTTTTAAACACTATACACTAAGAAAAAAAATTACTAAAAAAAAGAAAATTTCCTTAATTTTAGTAAATGGCGAGTTTACATACAACTGTGAACGTATTTTTTTTAAATAAGAAACTTATTTACTTATTTAAAAAACATAATTTCCTTAATAAAGAAAATAATTTATTAATTATAAAAAATATTTACAGCAATACAGTCAATGATTATTGAAATGTAATTTTTATTTTTTACTAATTAGTAATTTTCTAATTATATTTATTACTTTCAATAAAATGCAATTTCTTATTAAGTAAAAAATTCATAAACTTGAAGAAGTATTTTGTACAATATATAGTCAATATTTATAGAGATATGAATCTTATTTTTTATAAGTTAGCGATTTTCTAATAATATTTATTTAATTTAAGAAAATAATTTTTCTATAAATTATTTTTACCTATAAGTAAAAACTTTTTAAAAATTTTTTAAAATATATACTAAATTGGCATCCAAACGCCAAGAAATACTCTTGTAGAGAAGGGATTCTTCCACTTACGATAGTGGACTCTGTGGTTTTTGCCTCGTAGCGGGTCTGCTTATATATTATAATTGGATATATTTTAAATTTGAGAAACGTTTCCCATCATACGCCATCTAGCAGCGTCGCGCGTCGTTACGAACTTATAGGATTCT